CTGAGGATTTTGTAAATTGTCTGACTCTCTGACTGGTGGTCAGGTGACCTTGTGCAAAAGTGATGTACAGCATTATTTTGAAAAAAAAAAAAAATTACCCAGCCATTAAAGCACATAACACCAGTGACACACAGAAGTTATGTGCTGCCTGATAAACAAAATGATTAATAAATTCATGAAATATAATAAGCAAGTATGGACTCGCCTTCTCATGCCTTGAGACGCTTCCTCTCTGATGAGCCTTGACCCAAAGAAGTAGTTTAATGGAGTTGAAAGTTGTTAAAATGTAATATGAGTCCTGATAACACCAGTGACCAAAATTTTTTAAGTAAAATACATATTTTTTAAATGTAGTATAACGTTAATGATACAAAAAGTAAAAATGAATCTGTTTTATACAAATTCTGAAATTAAACCTCTTAAAAATATTGTTTTATATTAATAATGGTTTCTCAAATGTTGAAAATTGGTTTTGTGACGAGCAGTATTACACACACAGAGCGACTATGAAACAGGATAATAAAAGAAAAATCGGAGAAATCATACAGGAAACTGTGTAATTGTACATACTGACTTTTGGAGCTGTGCCTGATATTTTAAGCATCTTTTTAAACCTTTGTGACGTTTCCCACTACAACCGGAGAATTACATGTTTTGTTGATTTCTGAGTGAAAATCAGTGAACACATCCTCTACAGAGAACATACTTCTGCACATTTTAATGCACATTTGCTGTTTATTTGTTAAATGTAACATATTGGGAAAAAATATAAATTGTGGCCTGTGCAAAAGTTAGACCACATTTTATATTGTATTGTTTTCCCAATATGGTATGAGACTTTCACTTAGAAAATCAACAAAACAAGCATTTAACAAGGGGTATTCAAACTTCTGCATACCAACTGTATATAAAATGATAACGAGGCTTAGCTCTGTGCAGTTATCAAGTCATGTATGAATATGTACGTATACTGAGAAGGGACAAAAGCTCACTGTCAAGATGTATTTGGAGGCCTTGGCACTGCTATTTTCATCATGTGTTTAATAATAGCTGTGTGTATGAAACATCTAGAGAAACAACTATGTCTAATAAAGTATTAGCATATGCATAGACAAGGAAGAGATCTTCTCAAGTTAAATACATTTGTGTTTAATGAGAGATTCTGTCACTTAGAGGAGAAAACCGTAGAGCTGTAACAAAAACTCACTGAGGATTTTCTGTGCTCTCACTAATGTGTTTGCTTTTAATACTAATGAAGTACAGAGGCCTGCTCTGTGTGCTCTACAAGTAGTTTATGATAATTTATGGCTCTCTGCATTGTTTTTTACATGATCATACTTCTAATTTAGAAGTTCCCATAAGTGCCTGTACTTCAATTACACTGTTACAGCAGTTAGAATGTAAACTCTAACTAATAAAGTATGCAGGCAACTATCCCACAAGTCCTTTTTTTCAAACAGCAGATGGCAGAATACATCTTACATGAGGAATACGTAAGTGCTCATTGTATAATGTTTGCATTTTAGCATTATCCTGCAACAGTGAACATGAGAAGCTCGAGCCGATGCGACATGAATGTAGTATCTGTCTTTGCTCTGCATTACACACTGTGGATATCAGTGACGCTGGGGCAGAATGTTCATGTCTGCTCTGGATGATCAGATACATGTTGTGTGACAGTTTTTCTCTCATTGTACTGATTGCTTCTGATTTTACATTTCAAACGGATGACGTTTAGTGCGAAGTCCCAGATGTGCTATTTGAACATTTTTCAAACATAGTGTTTTATTTAAATTTTCATCACCATGCAAATTTCTCTGCCACCTACTCACACAAAGCTGCCATGACATTGAGCGTCACGGCAAACGTGTGGCATTTGGGCCTTTGATATTGGTTAAATCCTTTTTAGGTTTTATTTCATGTGTCTCTATGATCTCTTCTATCTTGACCATGTTGGGACACAGAGACTACCCTTCATTTATTTCATTTCCAGTCAAAATGGCTTACTCTTTTTTCAGTGTCAGAAAAACAGTACATAACGTATATTAACAGAACATTTCACAGAAGCCCCAACAACTGAATATAATATCATATTCTATACTTATTGTCTCTATTTCAGTTTTTCAAAGAAATCTGCAAGGATACCTCCACCATACCTCCAAAGTTCTGTCTTAATTTGGTTGTATTTTCTGCTAATCCTAAACACATTCGGTGATGATGAGGTCTGGACTCTGGGGTGGTCAGCCCATTGTTTTAAGAACATCAGCAGCTTTTTCATTGCACATTTCCTTCTTTTTTTGTCTGTTTTCTTTTCTCAGTAAGGGCTTCTTGACAGCTGCACATCCTTTCAGACCCGTAGTGTTGTCTTCTCACAGTAGAAGGATGGACAGAACCCCCCTAGATCTGAAGTAAGAGTGGAGCTTGATTTTCTCCTCTCTCTCTCTCAAAGATGAAAGCTTTAAGTGCTGTTTATCTGATGGTCACAGTATTTGTGTTTTACCAGGTCATGGTTGTTTTTTGTTCTTATTTTCTTTTGACTTTCCCTTCATCATGCAAGTTAATTGTCTTATATCTCATTTTGTTAAAATATCTCCTAAAAGTAGCTTACACTTAATGTCTGTTTTGACTAGAAAATAAATAATTATAAGGGTGGTCTCTTACTTTTGCACAGTATGTGAATAATCAGATAAGAGGCTGAATCTGATGAAATCTGGTATAAAGGAGCTTTTTGTGCACTTCAATCTTTTGCATTGGAATCCTTGCCTGTTCTAATCCAGAGAAAAGCTTTTCTTCTGTGATCATATCTGTGACACTGGGTTAGACATTTTGCAGTGACGCTAGTTACACATTGTTTTTGGCCGTTCAACAAAATTAAATCACTATAGCTCTTGCGTAGTTATCAATAGCACTAATTTTGTCTTTTAATAATCTATGCTTATTGTCTGGGTACAGCCTGCTTTCCTTTGGAATATCTCTGTACTCTAATTATGGTGTAAATGCATGGAGGATGCCATCAAACCAGACTGGACACTTTCAAAATTTTGCTCTGATTTACCAGTCATGTGAGAAACATGTAATTGGATGAAGTATCAGGCACTGCATTAGTCTGCCTAAAATTTTAGGTTCCACTTAATTCAAAGGATCTGAGGCTGTCTCCTTTTCCTCAGCTATTGCATTGTAATCTCTGAAACAAAACCAGGGTGAGATATCACTTTATGTAAATGTTGTGCCTATTTGTCAAACCTGAGCCTTTGCATTTTAAAGAGTTTCATCTCATGTTTAAGATGTAAATGTAGCCCACATCCGTGAATATATCCATGCTCATTTATAACCAGAGAGGAGAAAAGGCAACATTCTGTCTTTAGATCATCCTGTCCTCTTCTTCATGGGCACACTTCATCCTTTGGGCATAAAACTAGTGAATGTCTGTGCTTGTGTGCACCTGCTGAAGATTTGTGCATACAGGCATACCCAGTTATTTTCAAAAAGCAGGCAGTGCTTTTGTACCATGTGGAGGAACAAAGCGCAGTCATTTATAAAGACTATTCATCCACTAATAGCAGCCAGTGTCCCACATTCTTCTTGAATTTTATTTTCTCCATTGAGGTCCACTTATGACTCTTAAGTGGTTTTATGGACCCAAAACAGTCATGATTCATTTACACAAGACCCTTTTCCCATCTCTCTTTATCTATTAGATTTAAACAGGCTGTGTTTGTCACCGTACCTGTAAGACTGATATGTGTAAGTGAACAGTTTCATTCCAAAATGCATTATAGACCACTTTCAAGAATTTTCTTTTTTTTTCATGATCTACATTATAGCGAGTGGGCCTTACATGTACAAACAAACATCACTGCTATATCATGATTATCTAAAGAAATAAAAATGTGGTTTCCATTATACATAAAAATAGCATTTTGGAATGAAATTTTTCAAATGATCTCTGATTTTCTGCTCTGTATTCAAAAAGCAGTCTGGACTGAAACATTCCTTATATCTTCAGCATGAGTGGGTGGAGCTAAATTTCTGTAGGCTGAATAGATGGATATATGTAAAAGGGTTCGTCCCTTCCATATATGGACTGTATGGAGTGGGAAGTAAATGGTTTTGAAATTTTAGGAGTGAGTGAGTTTACATGCACTCAAAATTCTGATCATAATTGGATTTCTGCAGTTTTTTGATTATTTAAATGGTCACGTTAACAGCATACTCCGTTTTCTTGGATTGAACTAAGGTCTAGAAATCCAATTAAGAAATCTGATAAAGAGAGCTGGAGTAGATCAGTAATCCGATTTGTCAGTGCATGTAAACTCTTATTCAGATTTCTTTCAGGTTTCTCAGTCTGCACATGTGCAAAACAGACTGCGGTACCGGAAACAAGCAGCAATGCCGCGAGATGGCAGCAAAACACTTTTGGAGCGATGCTGAAACCAACCTTGATGAAATGAAGGACTTAAATATGGATTTTCTTCATCTTCTACATGATTTATGTTCCTGTTTTCAGGAAAAGTGACATGATGTTTTTTTAAAAAAAAGCCACGGCATGAGTTTCAAGTTTTATGTTACATTTGCGTTACGTTCATTAGCTGATTGCAAAGCAGAAATCCGATTACTGCGTGACTCATGTATACCCGGAGTTTCCCCATTATCTGATTACTCAAGCGCATGTAAATGCATTGATCAGATTACTGACAAAGCCTGATTTTCTGCACTTATTATTCTGCGGATTATTGAGTGCATGTAAACACATGTTTACATATGAGATGAAACTCTTTCATTTAAAAAAGCAAGGAAAATCCAGTATTTAATAATACAGGCTAAATGAGCTGCCAAAATTTATATCAATGCATATGGTGCAGAAATTGCCCATTTGTCCATAAATATGTGTCATACTTGTCATTCTGTAAAAACACTCACAAACTGGATTTTTTTTACAATTCTTTTTATTTGATTTGGGTTTTGTTCTGCTTTTCTTGCTGCGGCTGGGAGTTAGCACAGACCTTCGCCAGTGCACCTCCAGCTAGCTGTGATGTTGACACCTTTGGACACTCAGATGACCTCTGTCATACATGCCTTTCTGCGCTGTCCAAGTCACTTACGTCTGAAGACAGGAGAAATTAATTAAACAGCACTGAAAGCAACAACAGCGACTGCACAAACAACATCAACCAGGTACACAAAGCACTTCAAAAGCTTTCTAAACAACAATTAGTTTAAGACAGAGCTGACCTCCATCAATCAAGGCATTGTGGTAATTTCACGATCGAAACTGTGTTTTTCATTATTTCTGTTTTGTTTGTTATCGAGAGAAACAGAGAAAAATCAGATGTCTAAATCTGCCAGCTCTAGAATGGTGTTCACTGTTGACATGCATCCTGCGTTTCCCGTTAAAGAACTAAAGAAGATGCTGCCATACATTAAACAGTCTGGCGCTCTGCATGAATCAGGAAGCACTGATGTGTGATTCTTTCTGAGGTGCGTCTGAAGCACTTTTCTGAAGACGTTTAAGTTCACTTCAGAGAGCAATGAGCAATTAAAGCTAGGCATGGCTCCGTAAAAGCGTCATTTTGAAGCCGTGTCTCTTGGCATATCTGAAATGTTCTACTCTGGGGTCGGCACTGTGACTTTAGAATCTGCTATCACCCGTGAATCCAGCAGACATGGATGTATATCCTCTTCAGACTTTTTCCCCAACAGATGAAATGAACAAAACAGGAACCCATCCAGAGGATTCTGGTGGACAAGGGCTCTTGAGTGTAATTCACAGTGTTCTCTGCTTTATTTGTTTGGTGCTTTATTAAAAGAACCTATTTGCTGTATACCTCTTGAGAATGTCAAGGCAATCACATTGGAGAAAAGAGCCATTTTTGTCAGTCGGGAGCCCCTTACCATGAGAGAGATATATATATGTGTGCCCTCAGCGGCCTGAGGCCCAGGCATTACTATGACATCCATTTCCTCCCTCTATCTTTTCCCAAGGACATTATCTCAGCCCATGGCAGTCCAGCAGCAGCCTATTACATAGCCAGGTTGCAGAGGTAGATTGAATAAACACTAGAGATAGGTCTAGAGTATGGCAGGACCTCAGAGGTCAAAAGACCAGGCTAAAGTAAATCTGCCTCTGCTTCTATATCTGGAACTATGCAGAATGACAAGTGCTTCCATTTATACAAACGGAATCCACAGCAGGCAGAGATTCAAACGCAGCTTTTCTCACGTGCACTATAAACTAATCCCTGCACTGTGGAGTACGCTCGAAATTCAAATGCACAAATGAATATGTATTTACTCATTATAAAGATAAACACCTCTGTGTAACAGGTGTGAATACGCTCACTGTTTTGGCACAGCTACAGTTCCCTAATGGATCGATATTTGCCACTGGGCAGAGTTCCAGAGGTAAAGAGATTACGAGCCCATGAAAATTCCTGACTCTAAAGACCTTTTAAAGAGGATACTGAGATTTCCAATCAAGAGGCTCAATAACAATCCAAGAGGTCAATTACAGGCAATTTCACAGGTCATGCCTAAAAGCATTGAAAACTTTGTTGACCATAACAGGAGCATGTTGTGCATTAATATTGCTGTTTATGGTATGATACATGTTATAATCATCAATGTGAGAATTTTAAAGGGCCCATATCGTGGAAAAACAAATTTTGATGTAATATGTAAATATTATTTCATGACATTACATTTACTACAAAGTCCATACATTAAGAACAACCCACTTTGATATCACAAAAACCAACAATTCAGCCTACAGCAGTTTAGTTCTGCTTACATTGAAGTTATAAAGCCTTTTACAGGGCAGCCAATCAAAACAGAGATTATTTACATACATAGTGTTTATTTCTAGATTGTGTATGTCCGTGTGACCTGTCCAGGGTGTTTCCTGCCTTCTGCCCAATGACCGCTAGGATATTTTCCAGCACCCCCCACAACCCAGAAGGATAAGCGGCTTAGACAATGTGTGTGGGTGTGTTTAATTCTAAGGGATGAAGATAGGTTGCAAAATGGTCATGTATAAATTAATTATTACTGTTTTTGGTACATAAACTCAAACAAATATCATTAATGGACTTGGGGAAACTACAAGAACAATGTAGAATATGGACCCTTTAAGATTTAGCTGAAGCCGAGCTTTCAGTTCAGCTTAGTCTACAATATATTTAAGAGATGCTTCTTTCAAGGCAATCAAAGGTATCTTGCAGCAGTGGTTCAAAAAGCTGTTAAATTTCACTGGCTCGCTTAGTGCTTAAATATAGCACCTTCCTAAAGTATAACCATAGTAACGAATCCCACACAATGAATTTGTCAGCTTTGGAAGAAACTAGCCATTCTCCATCTCACCTGGGAGCCTGCAGGGTTTTCAGCTCCGCAAATTGAACAGAAGAGATTTAAGCCATTCACTTTGAGAGTAAATAGGCATTTTTTTTCTCTCGTTGACTTATCTGTGTAATTTCATCATCTTTAAATGATGGCCTCTGTTTAGTATTCATGGTTTTAAACACCATTTTGATTTCTTGCTGTGGGAGCCTAAACCTACATGTGCTTTTTATGTAAAGGAATATGTTCTACCTTTTTCAGGCTCCTCCTTCCATGCATTTAGGTCTAATGATGGTACACTGCTGCACAAAAGAAAGTCCTCAGGGTAAGTTCCCAGAGTGAATGGATCAAGGGGAACCTCTGTCACTCCACTGCTGTCGCAGAAGACTCGAGACAGGGAATGCCTCTGGAGCTCCTGTCTCTGCCGTGAAGAGAACACGCCAGGCTTTTCCCACCAAAACCTGAAACAGGCCCAGTAGTTTTGGCATACCATTTAGGTCACTGAGGAGAGTATTACAGAGTTCTGTATTTTAAAATAAAATGTATAAACTGAATTGCAGGTCTCAACACTTTAATACAGAGAAAATTACCTTTTCTCTCTTTTATTGATCTGTAAAATAGTGCAGTTTACCCATGATGGGACTTGGAGATGATTTTTCATTTGACAAGGCCTCCGCATTGAACGCACAATTCATTGCTTACAATAACAGTGGCCTCACCGTCTTACCTGTCACCTTCCCTGAGCATCTTCATCTGTTTTCCGATCAAGCATGCAAAGAGAGGGCCAGTCCTAGCGCCAGGTAGCAGATCCTCCACCAGCCCTGCCAGCCACACATCGATATTGTTGGGATGCCCGTATAGATCCATTAGCTTTTCAACCAAAGCCCTGTCACGTACCACAGCCCTCAGATCTGCTTTGCTTTCCACTCTGTCATATCCACAGAACACCCTCCAGTCATTGTAACCTGAAATGCAGTTGATAGGGATGATATTAAAGGCACATAGACTAGATAGCCTGAAGTGTCGCTTGAAGCATCTCTGTACAGTCTGTAAAATGTGTCTTTTAATGATGATGGTGTTTGAGTCATATTTATTTTTAATTTTCCATTACGTATAGTACTGTGCAAAAATCTGAGACATTTCATTTTTTTTATTTCTAGCCAAAATGGTCTTCTCATGGAAGCATGGACAGAAACACCTGTGGATTTTTTTCAGATCTGAAGCAAGAGTGGAGCTTGATTTTCTCCTCTTTATCTGAAGGTGACAGTTTGGTGGTCTACCAGGTCTTGCACAGTTGTTGGGAGTCTCACTTTCTCTTTATATACCTATTTTTGCAGTTTCTCTGTGTTTTTCAATCATTTTTTGAACTCCAGATTTGGAAACTCTTGTTTTTTCACTTACTTTCGTTCAGCCTACCCCTTCCTTATGTAAGTGGATTATCTTACATCTAACATCCTCAGAAATATCTCCAATTTTAGACACACATCTGAAAAAACTGAAGGCAGTTAAGTTTGTGTAGTTGTTAGTGTGAATGTTAGAGTCTCTTTGAAGGGGAAATAATGACAGTGTTTGGGAGCAGCTTTTCTTGGGAGAACACAGCTGTGACTGGCTGGTTTTAAGACTGGAAGGATGGAAAGTGCAGAAGAGTGCACAAAGTAAAGAGCGGACAAATTAAATACTGATAGATTTGATATTACACATAAGTGTTTGAGGTTTTTGTGTATTTTTTCTGATACTTAAAAATGAATAACTTGTACTTACTGCCCATTTTGACTGGAAATGACTTTTTTCTACATTTCATATGTGTTTATTTGTGCACGTGAATAAAATGTGACAACTTTATGCCCTAAATTTGCACATGATCACGTTTTTCATATGTGATCTCAAGTAAACTTGTGATGTTATATTATTTTATGTGATCACTTGTGATAATATTCAAAAATTTCAACATCAAAGGATTACACATGAAAATGAAAGAATTCTGATGTGAGCCAAAATAGAAATGTGCAATACTAAACGCTCGCATGTGGAGAAAGGTGTTAAAAATGAAAAAAAAAAAAAAAAAGAAAATCAAGTGTCTTAACAAGTGAAGTGTTATTTCTGTAACGGTTATGGCTGTGCAGTCACCTGGAAGGCCATGATCTCGTCCCCTTTGGAGGTTTAAAGCTGCCAGGTCCAGTGCTTCTGGGATATTGAGCACCACCAGCTTCTCTGTCAGTTCCTCAGTCATCAGGTGCTGTTGGTTCAGCCTGGCAGCAGGCCTGCCCAGGAGACCTCGCAGTATTGGATCTAATCCTCCTGCAGTGCGTAAACGCCAACCAGGAATCAGCCCAGGAGGCTGTGTTTGAACTTTTACACACATCAACAAATACGGTACACTGTAGGTAGAGCATTCAGAAATATCTTCAAAGGTTTGATGTTTAAGTCATGTGCACTATGAATAAAGCTCCAAACAGAGCGTTCAGAGCTAACACACATCTAGACTGATCAATGTTCACCTGCTCTGTGTATATACATCAGTAAAACAGGTTTACTGTAGGAAAAAAAATCTGAGATCAAAATCAACTTCTGGATCAATAATAACCATCCAGGAATCTGTTCAATACAAACAAATCTGAGATGGTGTTGCTTCTACAATCAAAGCATATACAGAAGGCCAGATGTACATATACTGTAAGTCTTCTCACACATGTACATTGAGGGATGTTTCACAAATTTTGCAGTGTATCAAGCAGAGATGCCATGATCCATTCTCAAAAAAGAAATTGCAATTGCCAGACAATAACAGACGATCACACATATCACAGGGTGTGTTCATATAGCTTTTCACCAGCCATCGATCACTCCGTTATAGTTTGAGTTCAACTGCATTTTTGTATATACTACAAGCCAAAGAGACATTTTAAAGACATTTGAGACCAAACAACTGTGCTATACTTAAAAGTATTAATTAATTTGTTAAGATTTCTTTTACATACTTGATTTAAAGTAGAACATAATTTTTACTTTAAATGTCAGCTCAGCCTAGTTAGATATTAGCGTATAATAAGTAGTTAACTAGAGAAGAGACAACTGGGAGGAATGGTGGGAAATGAATTAGTTGGAAAATGTGTAAAAATTAATTAATATCAATAATTACAAATTATTTGGAGTACAGTTGTAAAATTGAGCAAAATTCAATTTCCAACACACTTGCAAAATTTCTCCCATTTTTGTGCAGTCCTCCCACGTTTTGTGCGGCCCTCTTTACACACATATGCATGAGCATAAGAAGCACAACCTGCATTTTTCCATGCGCAGGACCCAGAAACTGCATGATTAGGCTTGTGCAGCAGGAATGTGTCCAAACTATGTCTGAAACCTGCTCAGAAGCTTAAGTACATCAGACCCAGAGTGTTTTTAAACCTTATTCAGAGATATTTTTTATTTAGAGACATTTTTTTGTCTCTACGAGTCTACGAGAATCGCTGTCTCTTACTAAATCAAGCGCAAGTGTTGCCCAAGATGAACAGTGAGTGTTTGTCTACACCTAATTAAATGAATGTAGAGCTAAAATACAAATAATGAATGAAAGCAGTAAACATTCATTAAAACAGGACATGGGTCTTAAAACAAATGCCTACACAAGATTATACACTGGAATAGTGTTTTTAAGTGTTGATCTTGTTTTTTTAGAATTAACCCTTTGTAAGAGTTTGTCAATGTAACATTAGCTAGCTTGGATGCTACTATGATAGTGCTATTAGCCTATATGCTAGTAGATAAAGAACGCTCACTTTCAAGTGCAAATGGTAAATTTGCTTGACTTCACATGATTCTGTGTGACTGCAGCACACTGCAGACATTTGTGTGTTTGTGCGAGTAGAAATTATAAATTAAGATCTATACATTACAGGAAATTAGACATTAGAATGTGTTATTATGCCAGTATGCTTGTATTTATTGATATAAAGTGGCTGGTAAAAAGCTGCTGTGGGCATTTACCATACCCTGCAGGCAAGTGGACTAAAATGTTAATTGGAGTGTTTTTATGTCCTGTACCGAACACACAAATACCACGCAGCCAACTGCGGTCCGGCAAAACCAAGCTTGCCTAGTCTTGTTCTTATTTGTCTTACAGATCTTTGTTATTTTGCAGCCTCTGTATTTGCATGTGTCATTTAAAACCATGTTGTTGTACTCTATATTCTATAATCTGACAAGTACAGAAAATGCCTTCTGGACATGCCAGTTAGGAGTATGTGCACTTCTGATAATTAATTCTAGAGTTACATACCAAAGAGGGGAAAAATCATGCAGTGCCATCCCTAATGAGTCTACTAGGACTTCACAGTTTGATTCAGATGAGCAGTCACAATTTAATATTGATAAATTCAATATTTTTGTCCACTGTCCTGCCTCTGTGATTCAACCAGATAATGTTAGATAGTTTTCCTACTTCAACTAGAATTTACCTCATGAAAATCATATAGTGACTGCCATGAAGTAAAGCTAGCAGCAACACGTCAAAGAGAGGGTGAGGTACCTTCTCTGATGATCCTCCATGGACTGAAAAAGGTCTGATGTAGACTCAAGGAGGAAAAGTGCGGATGCTCCTGGAAACTCTCGTTCAGTCTCCTCATCTGTGCTGAGATGGTGGCGTGGCCAAAGCGGAATGCAGCGGTGGCAAACACATTGGAAACTGAAGGGTTTATAGTCTCATCATATCCCTCATAAGGTCCGATAGTTTGATCAAAAGCTTCTTTTCCAAGGATTTTTGGAATATAATCCCTCATGGTTATGATCTGTAAAGTGGACAAATGTACTCTTATGATTGTATATCTTTTCAGGAGAAGATCTCAGAAACTTCTAGTGCTCATTTCTCAAGTGACTGCACCTACAAGATGAGAAAAGATGCATCAAATGATAGTTTGAAATTCCAGATAACCTTACGATAACAGATTTTAGTAGGTCGAGTTTGAGGCCAGGTTTTCTCACAGAAGTCTATACACGTACTCAACTGAAATCGGTGCCTGAGATCACAATTTGAGACATCCTGAGCTGGGAGATAAGATAAGATTGCTTGTTTCCTTCCTCTTTGATATGCTGCAGAAAATCATCTGGCTTTATCAGTTTATTAAAAACATCATTTAAAATAAGCCCTGCTCACCTCCAGAATCTCAACACCCACACTGCAGATGTTCCAGCAGGCTTTACAATGACACATGCCTGTCTGAGTGAAGTGTTGCTCCCCACCATCTCCTTAGCAGCAGGCATGTGTATATCAAAACTCACTGTCCATGAAGCTATAATGTAACAGCCTCAGTAGCAGAAAGTGGAAAGCGTTTTTATTGGTTTTGTGAAGTCAGGCCCTCTGGGACTTTGTTAAAACAGTGCACTCTGCTTGATGTATTCCATCTACTTCTTCTCTTGTAACACTTCAGAGTCTCTTTCTCTGCCACTTTAATTTAAGGGGCCTGAGCTGCATTCAACCTTACAGATCCTTTTGTGGGCAATGAAATGTTTCTTTGATCCAGCGGAGACTGCTCAAAGAGGACAGGCTTTAGTTGTGTGGCTCAAGGCCGTTAATCCCCAAATTTTGCCTCTGCCCAGTGTGGTGAATCACCTTTCTGTTTGCACTCCAGAGCATTGCTGCACTGGTCTAACTGGAACAATACAGCAATGCACTGAAAGGAGGAGAATAGCTCCTGCATCCATTTTGCAAATCATTTGGCTAATTATAAGGTCATTCATTTTCCTGTTGCCAATAATTACACATCTAAAAGAATCAGCTCTGCTGTAGCATAGAAGTGGCATACTGTAGTCTCAGTATGGGTTAAAGGGCAAGCAAGAACAGAAGCATCTTGAAATTCTTAGAGGTGGATTTGAAGTCTAAAAGGACTAAACTAACCTTTCCTCCTACACTCTTCTCAATAAAGCTGGCTAGCTGTCAAACAAAATCTGCTTCTACATCCATCTAGCTGCTTGTGCAAAATCCCTGGAATAAATGAACCTTTGCTCCTGAGCATGACGTTTTCTTTTTTTTTTTTACTGCAGATACTGAATGGCATCCTTCAGACAAGAGGAAAGCATGTTGCCATGTGTATATGCTTAATGGTCATTAATTTACACCTGTTATGTTACTACACTCATCTTATTAGGTCCCATCACCATATATGGTATTGTGAAAAGGTCAGAGTCCACTGCCATTTTATTTAATTTCCAGTTAAAACATCCAGTGAAAATTACATAGAAATCTCAACAACTGAACACAATATCATATTTCCCAATTTCACAATATCATGTGTCCACTCTTTGCTTTTATTACAGCTTCCATTCTTTTCACTAGCCTTGCTTTCAGTTTTTCAAAGAAATTTGCAGGAATGTTTAACCACCCCTATAAAGTTCAGTCGTAGATGTTGGTTGCATTTTCTGCTTGCTGTGGTCCAAGTAATCGCAAACACACAAGAACATCAGCACCTTCTTTAACTTGCGAATTTGCCAGCTTTGACAGTTTGGTGTCCTACTAAGTCTTGCACAATGTCCCATTTTCTCTATATTAATTATTTCAATAATAATATAATTATTTTTTTGGTCACACTTTTTTTGGATGGTGCCCTATAGATGACCTGTTATTAACAAACTTTCTGTTGATACTCAGTTGATTATCAACAACATTAAGGTCAGGGTTAGGTCTAAGAGTAGGTGCAGGTTTTGCCTTGAAGTTAGGATTAGGGTTAGGTTTAGATTTAATAGAACCTTTCACACACAACTTTAATAGATATTTAGTTGAATGTTAGTTAAAGGTAGACTGAGCATCTACAAAGCATCTACAGTAGACCATCCAAATAAAGTGTTACCCATTGTTTAATTCCAGTTTTAACTCCTGTTTTAAGAGTTATTCTCCTTTGATGTATCCCAGCCTTATGTTAGTGGATTATCTTATATCTAATGTTCTCAGACATCTCTAAAAAAGAAAAACTTAAACTTAATGGCTGTTTTGACTAGAAATTAAATAAATGGAGGGCAGTGTTTGACTTTTGCACAGTACTGTAGATGCATTTTGTACAGTTACATACCATAGTCGTTCTGTTTCATTGCATAATTAGTTAACCCCCCTTTAACCAGTTCATCAGTAATCCCCAGGACCACTGCTGAACAGGCCTTATTTAGGTGGTGGTAACAGTAGAACTACAAAGTGGACCTGATAAAATGGATAGGGATAGATACAAGGTAGGTGTACCTAATAAAGTGATGCATACATATAATAAAATATACTAAAAAAATAAAAATAAGTAACATGATGCACTAACACGTCAGAAGACTAATTCATGGTCTAATTAGAAACTTAGCATCCACCAAGCAATGCCACAACAACAAACTGGAATACCATAGCAACACCCTAGCAACTACTTGGAATTACTATATAAACCCAACTAAGTTATTAAAAACAATCAACAGTGTGATGCAACTACTTTAACCTTTGAAATGTTATTAGCTGGCTTTGTCAAGCCAACTTAAAAGTTTCTTCAGGAAATTTCACGTCATGTCAGAAGACTGATTCATGGTATTTCATCTAAATCATTTACTCATATTTGGTGAGTGATGTGAACAATGAAATATCTGTGGATATTCAAGAGATTTGAATACATCTATATGTGTAACTGTTTACAGTACAGCATTATGACTCTTTTCATTTTCACTCTAATGCTGAGGCATGTACTTTCAATCAGTTAAGAGAATAAGACCCAAATATGCATAGCTTCATCATTAGAAATCGCCCCTCGGAGGTCAAGTTTCTGAAGCATAAGTAATTTATGGAATATATTTTACATAAATTAACTTAAGAAGTCAGGTTCCATTACAATCATTGTTCAGCTTTGAGATAATTTTAGTTTAATCACCCCATAGGGTTTATTTTTTTGTTCTTAGCAATAATTTTTAATTTTCATTCCAGTCTTAAATTAAAATGTTACTTTATCAACAATGAATTGATATTAATGGCTGAGTTTTGTGGTGACTTGTGTTACTTGAAGATTTTCCCAGCTTTATGAAACGGATGCTTCTCGCTTCATATGACGTGAGTGCTATGATGCAGAAAGGAGTGATTGTTTCTGATCACTAGTCACACTGCTGCTCCTGAGATAGTGCTGTAATGCGATAGCTCGTACCTGATGCAAAGCTCCAATGATTTTGCGCGTCTCCTGATAGGTTGTCTCTGAGCTCCAGTGGGCATTCAGTTGTTTCAGCCGTGTAGCAATGCGATTGTGTTCCCTCACCCACAGTGTGTGCAGAGCAGCGAGGGGCAGAATCTCGTTCACTCTGCTATCTCCAGCAAGGAAACACTCCACCCGCTCCCTCGGCCCAGTGCTGGGCTGCTGAATGCATGCAGATGGAGTGAGGCTGACAAAAGGCAGGTACGGGTGACCGCCATGGTCAGTGTATTTGCTGTTCACCGCCAGCAGGCCCTCAGAGCTCGAGAGGTTCCTCAGAGCGTTTTCTAAGTCCACAGAGTGTCCATAGACAGTGGAGGCATCCAGGAAGGACGTGATTAAATTAATCTGTTGTCTCTGTAGCATCTGTGCTTGCAGAGTGTGTGCTGGACCACTGAGGCAGGCTGGCGAAGAACGGAAAAATGGGAGACAGCTTTTACTTCCAAACAGCTTATCATGTGGAGGAATCTGTGGCACGCACACACATAAGGAGGAGAGAAAGAGAGTGCATTGTTTTAGAAGAGTAATTGCTCTATTTACGTTTGCCCTGTTAACCTTTAACTGCCTCCTCTGTGCAGCTGTCACCACAACTGTCATACAAGCAGACACAGTGTGCTAGTGTTGTAAACAGTCTCATGTAGTACTCTTTATACTGTCTTATGTAAAGAATGACCTTTTTAAAGTTAAAAGCCCTACTGCCCTCATACATGAACGTGGTAGCTGCATTTGGCAAATGAGGCATCACCTATTTTATCACCTACTTAAAGATTCCTCAAAGAGTATATTATTTATTTAGCTAAGACCCTGTTTACATCGGGCCGTTTCATGCATTTATATACAAATAAGAATTATCCACATAAAAATGCAGGTGCAAATGCACTAATTGCACATTTAAAAACAGATTTCAAGGAGAATTCCAATGATTTCTTCAAAATTTAATCGCTGAGATTAATTTAGAATGTTTTGAAGTGAAATGGTTCATGGTCCTTATGTCAGAGATGATAGGAACCAGGAGTGACAATGAACTATAATATAGCCATTTTATTTACTTTCCCAAATGACCAGTGAACATACATGTGTCTTCTGAGCTTTTATATGTGATGTTGATAATGGTTAAAGAGTAATAAATCAGAAAATGACAAGCTTTTGGTACTATTTTGCCTTGTAACACCCTGAATGTAATTTTAAATTTTACGGCAACAATGTCTTAGGCATCAGGCTTCGTATTCATAACCGTTTTGTATAACAGCTTTCTGTGAGGGAAACTTTGGAGACATTAAACTCTTCATACATCTGGTTCCCATCACCACCACTGTGAACAATTCTGACTTGGCGGTTCCTCTTGCAGTTTCTCTAGAAAAGCACATTTTACATCAAACCACTCTGAAAGACTTTGTTTACATCTCAATGATTTAATTATGTAGACATTTAGAAAAATCAGTGAAAGACACCTCTGAAAGTCCACCTCAGGAAGGGGTCTGAAATGTATTTTTTAGCCATATATTATACAAGTCAACAAGTTTCAAGCCAACAAAACCACTCTCAATACAATATGTCATAACGCACATGGTCCATGACTGCAATGACAATACAGAAGGCTAATTAGACTAAACAGCTGTAATCTTGTAAACACTGACTGTCATCTTCCTCTATGTCTAACAAAAAGAGCAACAGCATAAGTAAATGCAAAGGAATAAATGCATGTGGTTCAAACCAAGTCCTATGAAATGACCAGGTGAACAGGGTCCAAAGGACTTTACCTTAAAGAAACCATGAGAATATTACTTTTTACCTGTAAGCAAAAATGTATTACAGTCTCCTAAATAGGATTCAAATGTAGTGGCCAGTGTATATCAGTGTTCCTCTGTGCATTGTTAGTGCAGTGCTTTGACAGTTTAACATTGCCTCACCTTCATAAACTCAGTTTTAAAGCCTTCCTTTTATTCCTCTAAAATGTTTAATCCCCTCTGGTTCCGTTTCAGAGCCGAGGATTCTGCAAACGAGCACACTCTGCAGCTACACACCCCTGAGTGGGGTTACCATAGCTGCAGGCTAGAGGTTCAGGCCAATACTTCTGAAAAAAGGGCCATTCTCAGGCAGCGATTACTGGCAGGTCACATTCTTTTCAATTGGTCTATATTTTGCTTGTTGTGAAGTTCTTCTCTGGAACACAGCTTGCATGTTCCTAAAATAGCGCTGCTGCTCGGGGGCACTTCTTAGTGCTTCAGGCTCGCATACTGAAGATGCAGTCGGTTTTGATCTTTACAGCATGCTTAGAGAAATACGTCTAGCTGTGCACAATGTGTTTATTTGCATTTCCTGTAATCCATCCTTAGAAAGTATTCAAATTGGACGGATGTTTATTAAGCTGAAATGGCTTTATTGATTTGGAATAAGGTTGCACAATGAGGATAAAAAGTGTATGATAAAGTTGCTGGATATTGTGAGGATGTCTGAGGTAGTGAATTACAATCATGTAGCCTATACAGTTTCTGTGCTTGAAACATTTTAAAAATGGAAATATTTTTCATTGATTTTGTTTTATGATTGCCCAAGTTGTCAGAGAGTCAACACTGCATCCTCAGGCCCGTATATAAACTTTCTGATTAGGTAGCACTGGTGATAGAACAGTTACAAGGGTATTGTAGCACCAATATTAACAAGGACACAAAGTGTCACTGATGCAAAGCACTGCCCTTATAAAGCACCAAAAGCTACATAAGTGCTAACAGCGACCCCCTTATGGACAATGTTAAGCCTGCTAAACATGAGTGAGTGAGTGAATGAGTGAGTGTGTTAGCCAGGTCCATAAGGTGCTTTGATTCCAAAGATGCCATAATAATATGAACTTTTGTTTGTGACATGTACAGCTTATTAAATTTCCCCACAATAAATATGTGGGAAATGAGAAAGTGAAAAGATTTGAACACTAACTTGATAGTCAATCCAAAGCAATATATATTGTTGCTGGCTTTACATACGACATTACAGCCTGTAATTAAACAAACTTTGGGCATTTTGTACTTTGTGTTTGTATGTTTTAATTATCTTGAGATTTTCCTGTAATCTTTACAAATCTTTAAATTCCTTCTATCTACCTGACAGACTGCAACTACCATAAACACCAGAGCTTAACTGTCTTTGCAGTTCATATGACTAAGCTTGGGGAGATGGCTTGGGTAGCTGGTAAATGGTATTCAATACTGTAGGAATGCACGTAAGCATGAATGTCTGACAGCTTCTTCATTGCCCAGTCATGTACAAAATACACTCCCGTGACCTTTTTCTCTCATCACATACACATTCTGTCAGCCAACCTGTGTCCAGTGGCGCCATACATACACAAATCTCAGTTTTTTACTATTTTTCTTGAGTGATATTCCACTAACCATGCACAAAATACATAGCCGTAAAGTTTTTTACTCAGGAAAACACAACAAAAACAAAAGCATCGCAGAGACGTTTCCCTTTGCAGGTCACAGTGAACATGTCATTGCCTTTCCCAGTACAGGTCCACATAATATCTTGTGGTGCAGAGCTAATTTTCAATGTCACACGTGGGACAGAGTGGTTAACCAGCCTAGTGTGGGCTGGAGAGGGTTAACATATATGTGTAGAGAAATTCCACAAATTAATGCATTTCCCAAATAAAATGATAACTGTCATTTAATAATTGGCATATATAAATAACATCTAACAGTAAAATAAATAAACTCATTCTAAGCAAAAATTCTAAACTAGTTCTAACTAGAAGCAATCACATGAATCACGTAAATTGCTTTTTTGCATGCTAAAGAAATGGTGGAGCCTTTAGCTGTGGGAACTGCTCTTAATAAAGGCAGACACATTACAATAAAGCCAACTAAAGACAAACCTGACCTATGGCAGTCATTAGCCACGTTTACATGCAGCCTGATAATCCATTAATAATCTGACTAATAGCTCAATCAGAACAGAATACGTCCATGTATACACCTCAATCAGACTAGGCTAGTCCGATTGACTCCATTCAGAATACAATTTCTATCCGATTAAATGAGATGGGTAATCCTGTAAATAATCCGTTAAATAGAAAAATAACAAACATGTAAACGCCTGTATCCGATTACATTCCCAATTGGAAAGTTTAAGTACGCTCTGCGCATGTGTGTTCAGGATGTATTCAATCAAACTGCCGAAAATCTTTGCATGTGAACACAGCCATTTTCACTCGTGACTAATGCAGATGGAAACCAGTTATACAGGGCCGAAATGTTTAGGTTGTGGTGGAATTGGGCCCAAGCAAATCTCTATTTCCTGGTAATGTAATGGCTTCTGTGTGCATATGAGCCCTCCGGGTCATTTCCCAGGAATGGTAAAGTCTCGTGGAGGTAAGCTGTCACGTCAAACTCCAGCTTGTGTTCACACTTAACTCCTGCCCATTTAATTACCATCAATTCACCCATAAAAGATTTCACTCTAGTAATTATTTTGAGCTATTAAAGCCTTTGCCATGAGTTTATTGCAGTAACTCACAACCCAATGAGGATAAAAATAGGATTTATCATGCATGCTTAATTTGCACAATTTATACATGATAAAGTCCTCAGGAATTTATTTCAGGCACCTGCAAATCATTGCTGTTTGTCATGATCTTGTTAGAATGCACTGCCTTGCAATCAGTTGAGGGCTACATGTTACTATGTCCTTCAGTGTGTACTATATGGATCAACACTTTTTCTGATATTTCTGGCCTGTCATTTATCCTGATGAATCTCACAGTGTTAGTATTCAGAGGCTGGCGTGTGCTGGGGCTCAGCATGGATGGGAATAAAATGTGCTGTTTTGTATATCTATGGTGCTTGCCTCCTTCCCTCTGGCTGGGGACACTGAGATTAGTTACAAAACAACACTGCTCAGTAATATCCCCCATATTTCTATGAGCAGTCACTGCCCTGAAGGAGTCTCAAACGCAGCCCTATCCGGAGAGAGTCGCCTCAGTGACTCGCTACTTTCACTGGTGTTTGTGGTTTGACAGAGATAAAGAAGCAATCAATGAGATATATACTTTTTAATTTTAAACTCATGCCACAGGCCCTGACACCCCTCCATCTAACCCCATCCCCAGCCCACATTTAAAATCAACTGCCCTGAACTAGTGGCAAATACATTCACACCTCTGACAATAGAGGCTGGCCATATCAGAGAGAACAAAGTGTTTGACTTTCTCCTTAAACAAGTGCTGACATGCATGATCATACAATTTAGACATATTACAATACTTACAATCTGCATGTCTTTCATGATACTAGATTATTCTGTGACTTGTCTATGTTATATATTTTTCTATATTTTATTGGATTCATGCTGATCCCTCCACCAGGAGAAATTCCTTGTACATTTTGTTCAAAAGATTCAGATTCTGATATTACCTTATATGGAGGAGGTGAACTGAATTTATCATAGCAACAAGGTCAATCAATTTAAAAGACTAAAAAGTGAAAGCAAAGCACTCAGAGCTGAAAATATCTCACTTGGCATTTTTTGTTGCAAATTACTGTCATTTGTTTGTAACTTCTGGAACACAGACGTTACCTGAATTGGAAAGCACGGATCCGAATTTTCACACATGTGTAGGCAGTCGAGACCCTCCAGAAAGGCAGCTTTGCTTGTGCTTTGAGGAGTGAAGGAGATGTCGTGGTCTATGTACTGACCCCAGTCCACCAGCAGCTGGGAATATGCCTCATCTTCCAATGTGATCTGGCCGGAGCTTTGCATAATGCTGTTGCTGACTTCCCGAACCTTCAAAAGCATGATTGGCATGATGTTCAAAGCAGACAAGACTAATCTGATTAATGTCTTCAGTTCCAAACTTCTTCCATAATTTTATGTGCTGTTTTTATAGCTGCTCTCTTCAGCTTTCAGGCCTCAGACCATTTCCAACATTTTCTGAAGCTCATGCATTTTAATGTAGACACTAAGTTTTTCCATTTACTTGAGAGATGGTCAGGGAAGGCCAAAGAGTTTGTTTCAGAGTCTGGAACATTTCAGCACTGTCAGATCAAAACTTTTTTTTTGGTATCATCTGAAAATACATGCAAACATTTTATAACAGATGGTACTATAGAAATAGTCCAGACAAAATCTCGTTACACTAACGTACAACAAAGAGTATTTACCTTTCTCCTATAAAGTTAACGTTTTGCAGATAAAGTCTTGCTATGACAGATAAGAAACGGGTTTCATTACTGTGAAAAAGATTGAATCTACTACAATCCAAAAGGCCTGATATAGTTAACAGCATTAAGACAAAATCCTCAATCTTACTGTACAGTGTTGCACAGAATAGGTGAAATCAGCCTCTCCTTTTAGCCTTTGTTTATCTGCAAAAAAGTTTAATCAGAGAAACACTTCCACTTCATATAAATGCTATACGTGATCAAAGTGTTTGTGGAACGGCGCTTGTGCCATCATTGCTGATCTCAGGAGGCGGGAAGCTGCGTGTTTGTCCTGGCACTTATCACACTGAAATGTTTTGGGTTCATCCTCATTAAAAAATGCTTTCACTCAGGAGAGAAAGCATGGCGATGGTGTTCTGCTGCCTCTCTGGAGTGGGAGGCTCAGGGTCTGCATATTTAAAAGTGTGCACAGTGCTGAATTTTTAATGGGAGATTGCCACAAAGAAAGGACAGTGTGTGGCGGCTAAATAAGCCGGAATGGGGATTTCTTAAGTATGTGCTCTGTTTAGTGTATTTGGCAGGCCGTTCCACTGTTTTAACCTTATGCTGATTGCTATGTAGTGGCAAAATCATATACATTCTAGCAGTAAATAGACTGGACAGAGGAATTGGTCAGCTGATGTAATTTTGATATGTGCAGTACTGTGCAAATCAGAGACTGTTCCTCAGTGATTTCATTAAGTATAAGTTAAGTCATTAAGTATACAGTACTAATTATGCATAAGATATCTCTGATGAAATTAGATATACGATAATCCAATTGCATGAGAAATGGGGAAAAATTATGGAAAATAGGTAAAAAAAGAGGAGTTTTCAAAACTGGAGTTCAAAAAATTATTAAAATGACAGTGTAGTTGTCAAGAAGCCATTAACTGTATTCAATACAATAAAAACAGTAATTATAATAAACACTAAAAGCAATGAAATGACAAAAGCAGTACAAAAATGAAAGCTTACAAGTACTTACTTTATTTGTACTTGTTTTAGTTGACTGGCTTGGTATATATATGTATAAAATATATGTATAAAATAAGACAAAATTAAAAGTTTAAAAGTTAATTATAAATTAGCTGGAGCACAATAAATAATGACTGTAAAAACAACTGGGTCTTGCGGAGTAATCCAATCACTGTCCCAGTCATTATGCTGCAGGTCCTAAACAGAAAATGCAACCAAATTCTGAGACCGAACTTTGGAGCTATGGATAATATCCCCGCAGATTTCTTTGAAAAACTGAAAGTGAGTCTCCTGAAAAGATGAAATTAGATATACGATAAAAAAGGGCACAGTGAATACTGAAAAATCTGATGTTATATTTGTGTTTACACTTGTGTGTATGTGGTGTTTCACTGCACGGATGGGTTAAATGCAGAGGTGAAACTTCCATATTGTGGGACTAATAACGGTCAAGTAATCTTAATCTTAATCTTAATTTATCTGTTGAGGCTTTGGTGTAACCACATATATGTTTTCTGCTTTTTTCTGACACTAAAAAATTATACCTTCTATTTAATGGCAGCTTTGACTGAAATGAAGGGTGGTCTCTGACTTTTACACAGTACTGTACATGTACATAAAAACCACATATATATATATATATATATATATATATATATATTTTGTATTTTACGCAGTAACTAGGCTACATGTTTCTTTTCGTTTGTGATTGTGGTATTAAATAAAGGTGGCAGTCTGTGGCTTACTGCGGGAAGTTGGAAGCCACTGTATTGGTGCCCAGTGTTCCAGCCTTTTGGTTGGCTTTCTCCATCCTCGTACTCCGCCGGGAGCCATCTGGCCAAGACAGTGCTGGCTGCTCCCCAGAGAGGGTTATTTCTGAATAAGAAAGTATGTCTGTATATGTTGGATCTGAAATGTTTCTGGGGGCATCATAGGAAAACAAACATCTTTGCATAATGTGTGGCAAAGAGATATAGGTTACATTTCCACTCAAATAATCTTCAGTTTAGAAATTTATTGTAGACACAGGGGTTGCTTGAAGTGCACTGTGAAAAAAAAAACATAATACTCACACATAAAGCCACCACTTTTACAATTATGTACAATTACCATCTCTAGATGAAACAGTAATTAAATGCACAGTAAAGCTGATCCTGTTTATAAAGCTATTCGTCAGCTGTTATAGACACAGCAACGCTAATCAGGAGAAATGAGAACATACATGTACGTATGTGATCACAGCCAGAACACTCTTATCTTTATATGAGTATCAAGTGGAAGCTCAAAAGGCAATATATATTAATGAACTTCATCTTTAATTTGTGAATTCTGAGCCACCTTCAGAGGAGGTCTGTTGCACCACTGTGAGCCACATGGACAGGTTTAAATATTGATTTTAAGTGTCTCTCTGTGTGCTTGATAAGCTTGGTGCACGAACGCATCATTCTTGTGCTACTTAGTGCTGTTTTTGCCCGCTGCTCTCACCCCTCACGCTGTGACTAGCCTGCCCTCCATCTGCTACACTAGCCCTGACCCGTCCTATCTGTCATGGGTCATCTTATCAACTTGGCCCTGTTCCCTCAGCAAAATGCCAGGGTCCAGTTAGCTTGAGAGAGCACATGGCTGATTAGGATGGTTTCAGAGCAGCCTGGGAGATGCGCCTTGTTGCTCCACAGAACAGTATATTATGGATGAATTATTAAGGAAGAGGCTACATACCTGTTATTGCAGACTCCAGAGATAGTGCGGTATTTCTCTGAATCACCACCTTTGGGGCAGCTGGCTGGTTGAAAGGCTGGAGGACACCCAGACAGGTTTGCTATCAGCTCCACTTCCTCCATGGAAAGGAGCTCTGGAAAAATCAACTAATGAGATTGACTAATTGACCTTTCCTCGCTCTACCCACAAATACTATCTTTGCTGTTGCTAGGTCGAACAAGCTTTACAGAGCGTTAACAATGTCCTATTCTTCTAAATGATGATACTGCAGCGCAAACCTCAGTTTTTGTTAAAATGGCCAAACTTAGTGTGAGTTATTTACTTAAAATGTTATTTATTTTGTATGCATGTGGCAGGCCACACTGTTAGCCCAGATCAGGTGTTCTGTGGGGATGGGAAAAAACACAAACTTTCTTTTTTAGCTGACATCAAGTAAAGGCCACTGCACACCAGATACATTGTGAAGCAGATAGGACCATGTGCAGCTTTAGCACATAGAATGTGTCACAGTGAGGGCACCAATAAAAAGCAAATTCCAGTTCATTTTACACTTTACTGGTATAGATTTAATGGAATTAAACTATCAACAACATTTATTTAATAAATCCAAGTTACAGAATCCAGTTACCTTTTGAATTTATAGAAGAATACTTTTAGAATACTTCTTCACTAAATTAAAATATAAAAATATTTAAATTAAAAAAATACATACCAAGATTAAAAGAAACACCATCTGTACTTTCTATGAACTATTTAAAATGAGCACATTGAGGTACTCTACAGAAGAACTCAAGAAAAGGCTTCCATGAAAACACTGAAGTTCCTACTAAAGCCTGAGTAGACTGATAAATCAATGTGAGCCAGTTATTAATCTCAGTTTTACTGAATTAGTTTGAGGGATGATGGAACTGAACAATCTCCTCATAGTGGGCATGTTCACCAGTGATAAGCTTAGCATTGTTGTTGTACTAGACTCATGCAGGCATTTCATGGCAAGTTACTAGCGCTGGGCGATAAAACGATAACGATAATTATCGCGATATAACTTTTCCTCGATAGAGCGATACGACATGTTCGATAAATGTTTGATATAATACACCATTCTCACACTTCCACGTTCAGCGAAAGCCTTGGTGGCGTTTTCTACTGCAAGGAAAGCGACACTACTGTGCTGTCGCCAGGAGAGGGCGCACTTCCGAGGTTTTCTACATGATTAGAGAGGGAGGGGGCCACGAGTAAGATGAGTCTTTAGCAACGGCTGAAACACGGAGTTGTACATTCCCTGTTTGAGCGGAGCGACAGGCAATCTGTTCTCCTGTGACCGAGTCTGAGTGACGAGGTCAGTGGTGTAACTGTACTGTCCTACAGCGAACTCACCTCTTTCTGTACATCCTAACCAGCTTTAGCAGCATTAAATCACAATCCTCACAACTACAGCGCTGTTACAGCGCTCGGATAGTCATATTTAAGTATTGCATTCCCAAGCAACGAAAGTGAAAGAAAGAAGTGGGTTCATGCAGTTACGGCCCTGATGTAAACAAAAGTAAACTGAGGAAGCTGTGAGGCATTGGAGAGCGGGAGAGCGCTATCTTTCCAGGCTAGCTGTTTTTAGCAGCTGGCTAACTTAAAGCAGCGCTTCGTCACTGCACGACACGGCGAATTAATGATACTGTAGATCAAACACGACACAAAAGCACCGCTTTCAGTTTAAACATACCTAAAAGGAGGACTCTGTTTGTCTGGTGTTGATATTTTGCGGTTCACCACTTAAACTACTACAACTGAATATCCAGCCGTCGCTAGCTGGTGTCTGAATACTGTGATGTCATTTGTAACGGGGTAGCCGAGCGCTCGTCACCAGCTAAAAATAATGTTTTCTTTCTTAAATTATGACTATTACAAAATAGCCATGCTTTTCCAGCTGGTAAAAACAGCTCACCAGACACTCTCTCCCACTCTCCCATGACAGATTTGTGAAATGTTCCACTGTTTGATGAGTGTTTGTCGTGTTCCGACCATAAAGGATAGTTTAAAACAGCAATTAACCCCCCAGGAGCGGAAATCAGCCTTCAAACTTGAAAGAAATAATGATTTGACATTTACTGCGATATGTATCGATATCGAACAATATAAATTTTGTTTATCGTGATAACATTTTTGGCCATATCGCCCAGCTCTACAAGTTACATTTGTCATTTACTGAAAATCACATAGCTGTCCACTTTATAGCCAAATTGGCAAGATTCTGTTATTGAGTGATGACAAAGTGAGTTTTTCAGGAAACATATTGAAAGAGGAAACAGAGAAAACAGAGTAAATCAATGTGAAATAAATTGAATTCTGAATATGATACTTTTTAAGTATTGTAATGGAATACATTACTCAATACATTAAAAGAGTATATTCAGTATTTAGCCATCACCACTGGTTCAAAGTATTTTGCACAACTCCGGTCCTCTTTTTCCAGGACATTTCCAGTGATGTAGTTTTTCCATTCCATTTCCATTTTCCAGTGTTTCTGAATGTAAAGAGTAAAATGTTTGGGATTTGGCTTTACTTAATGTTGAATTTGCTGTCTACAGTCTGCACCTTGCTGCACCCCCCCGCCAGTATATGGTCACCCCAGTTATTGTTAGTGATGGTGTGTGCACTTTCATTAAAAACAATGGTGCTTTAATTTTTTATCAAGAAAGATGTGCGGTGACCTTAACACCAAGGTTAACCTCCGGATATCAATATGAAACCAGTATATGTTGCAACAACATAATGCAACTCAGTAGCACTGAAAACAAACATCATAACGGTCCAGTTAGAATATTAATGTGTTCTGAGTTTCAGATTACACTCAATGGTTTTTTTTTTCCCTAAGATTCTGTAAAGCTTGCCCAACTTTGCAACAGTTGCTAAACACAAGCACATTTGTAGGTGGACCATAGGTAGCTCAATTACAATCAATATTTCAAATAAATATTCCCTTTGAGTTTGAAAAGCACCCATTTCTGGACTTAATGTAGCACCTGTCATCAACCTGTGTGAATACATTAAATCTGACATTTCGCTGCTGGTCAATAATGCTGCTGCTACCTCTGCAGTGTTTTCCTGCACATATGCACTGAACCTCATTTCGTTTGGAAACTGCAGTAATTTTTGATGAAAATTTGTGATCACGTCTGCACGACATCACTACATTTAGCTCAGTGTATCATTTACAAAGTATAATTTATGTTTTGGATTGAACTGGAGCTCTATATTACCTGCCACAGGGACAGATCGTTTCTGTCTCCTTCTTGCTTCATCCTTTAAAAGTTGCAAAGTCATTTGAAAGACCTCTGCTGCTCTTGATATCCCCTGAGTAGCTGCTGCTTGCCTGGAGAAAGCAAACATCTGCAGGCAAGATGACTGAGTATAATTCCTGCTGTTCACAAAGAAAGAACGAAAAAACAAAGGTAAAAGAACTGCTTTTGTTATTATTCAATAGAAAGTCATATTTTATAGTTTGTGCAAAAGAAAATAAGTGCTGTTTACCCTTTTTCGGAATGTTCTAATGCAGTGTTGACCATCTGAAGACTCTCCTCTATTGAGGATTGTAGCAAATGTTCAGGCTTGTATAGTTTTCCTGGCAAATATACATGTAAGAATGAATATGTAAGTTAGACTGTAACAGTAAAAAATCCCTCTTGTTACATACAATGAAATGAAAAATGAAAGACAGTTTAATCTTCATATCCACCAATGACTCATGATATATAAAACAATTCACTATGCCCAGTTATTAGAATGAATTAATCTGTTGAACTGTTATTATATAGAATGGATGGCAAGCAAGAAATTAAATTGATACAGTCAGTCAAACCTTCTTGACTGACTTAAAGTTAAACACGTCGTCAGTCGGTGGTGGATTTAGAAAGTTTTACTGGGGTGGTAAATGGGTGACAGGAGTGTCATAGGCTATAGAGCCACAGCAGGCATGAAAAAACTGTTTATGAACTGTTTTATCTTACCTTTGATGACTTTATGCATGAATAGTAGATGTTTGCTTTGATATTTTAACATTTTTGTTTTAGCTTTTGTGGTAAAAGACCACAGTAAGTACCAAATTCACAAATCAAAGACTTTGCAACACAAGCTGACATTTTATAAATTCGTTTTTTTGCTTTGTAAATGGGTATGGAAGCGACATATTCTAACTCTATCATGGTCTACACATCTAGGCACGTCTTTGGACCACAGCTGGAGATTTAATTCAAAATACGACACACACCAGCACACTGCTAAAGAACTGAAATTGCGTCTTGATTTCTTGGCTGAATGAACGAGTAGCACCAAACTCAAGTTAATCTCTGGCTTATCTACTCACAAGGAGCTAGTGCACCATGAGAAAGTTCCAGGTGAATGGTCAAACGTCCTCCGATATAGCAAACTGTGTTATGACGCAAACAGGTATAATTGTACCCTGCCTACGCTGTGTCTAATTAAGGACTTTACAGACATGAACAAAATACACTTCATTGGCTGAATTATAAAACAAGTTCAACACAGTGAGTCATCCTGCCTGTCTCACCACATATAGTGCAGTAACATCCTGTATCACTTCCACTTTCCAGATTATGTTATGGGGATGTATGAGCTATATGGCGATCCCATCTGAATTGGATGATGCCTAATCTGTCAGCAAATATAATCAAATGAGCCACAGGGGAACGTGAGGTGCCAAATGCAGTAGAACAGCTGGGTTGGAAACTCTGTGAGACAAACGTCAGAAAATACTGAATAAACTATAATGCATCTGCTGCCAGTTGAGTGCAGCTGAAGTAACAAGAAATCAGACTTGAGTTAATCATCAGGGACACATGCACTCAAACCAGAGCTAAGACAGTCACAAACAAACTAGTGCACAGGTAACTAATAATTTATTTTAAACTGCAGGCAATATCACTAGATTTAATAACATAAATAAACAACTAAATGAAATACGTAATGACAATGGACTGCCATCCAATCAAGTACTTGGTACTATACAATTCATGCAGACACTATACAGTGGTTGTTATTTGCAGGCTCTGTATAATTAGTCTGAATCCTCAGAAAAAAAGGTACTGAACTGGGACTGGGGTGGGACCCCTCTTGTCACTGGGGTGGTACCCTCAAGGGTATATCACAAGGGTACCTTTAGTTAGGGATTATAATTGAAATCCATTGAAATTATATTTTTTAAAGTTGTACTGACTCAACACATCCTATCTTATCTCGAGGCTTTTTATTTTACTGACCTATTTTAAAACATTATGAAAAGGTACAAATATGTACTTTTCCTCAGGGAAAAATATTTTTAAATATTTTCACATTTGAGGTACACATAATTAAAACCATTGTTGTACCTTTGTGGGTACATTTACATTGTACTTTTGTACCTGCTTCGTACCTTCGTACCATACTGTACCTCTGACAGTATGCAGTTGTTCAGGGTTACTGTATACCTACCCACTCGACCACACACACATTATCTAAGCTGCTTATCCTTCTGGGTCGTTGGGGGGTGCTGGAGCCTATCCTAGCTGTCACTGGGGAGAAGGCAGGAAACACCCTGGACAGGTTGGCAGTACATTGCAGCCCACCTGACCAGTTTATATTATACTATTGTCACTGTACTACTATTCACTACCATGCCAATATACAAATAATATACTAATATACTAATATACTACTACTATAACACAATGGACATTTTAACAGTGAAATGTGCACTGATACTAAACCAGAAGACCCCAAACAATAAGAAGTAAGAAGGTAAAAGATGTGTGACCTACGTATAGATGTTGTAGTTGCATCTGCAGACAAGCATGAAAGCAAACTGCAGCAAAGCAGGAGCCAGGACAAAGAGCTGGACATTGCTACAGTGCTAAAATGAAGAAAACAACAACGACAACAACAACATTATGTTTAAAAAAGAAAAGGAAATCTATAGTACTGTGCAATAGTCAGAGACCACCCTTCATTTATTTAATTTTCACATCATTGAATGTGTTTGGGATTACTCGGATTGTGAGAAGCAGTAACGAGTAATGAGTAAAGCAAAGCACAGAAACACTAAATACTGAAAATGACATTATCTTTAGTTGCTGAGGCTTCTGTGTAATTTCATCCTAAATATGTGTTTTCTGCTTTTTTCCTGACACTGAAAAGTAAACTTTCTCCTAAAGGCAGTTTTAACTGGAAATTATAAAAATGAATGGTGGTCTCTGACTTTTGCACAGTACTAAAAGGTACATGGACAACCCTACAAGCATTTTTTCACAACCTTAGACAGTGAAGCAAGACTAATCATAAAGTACATCCCATGGCATAAATTAGAAATGCATTACAAACCATAATTACTGTGCAATTACTTTAACACATTTATTTTCTTTTTCAATGCTGAACATCAAGCAAAGGTTAACATGGAAATCTCCAAAACCAGACCTTTTATCTAATCACTCAGAAATTCTGATCTTTTAGGTCAAACATTAAAAAGTAAAAGACAAATATTTCCTTACTGTGTTCTCTGGGTGTGATCTCTAGCAGAGTCTGACTGTTTACGCTCTTGTCTCTCTGCATCAGAGTTCTCTCTTCCTGAGAGGGCCTAGTCATACCCTGCTGACTCCACACAAAAGCCACTTGATTTTCTAGTCTTTTGCTGCTCTCCAAGCACATGATTTACGTAGGTGGAAAGATCAACTATAAACACACAGCACAGCTATGTATGTCAAATTTTTCAGGGCTTTGAAATCACAGTCCGATTACCATTCAAATCCTCATGGTTTAGAGAATTTATGAAAGTTAAGAAAACCTTCAACTGTTTGAAGTTCTCTTATCCTGTCCTTGGGCAGAAACCAGGCCGCCTGATCCTGGAAAAGAGCAGATGCTTACATTTTGAATGGAATTTTCAGACTTTGTTGGCATTAAATTTAATTTTCAGTCTCTCATTCCAGGCCTGTCTATCTTTAATCTCTGTGTCTTTACTCAGGCGGAGAGCTTGTATACACTGTTCTCATTAATAAGTGCACTTAGATAAGTTCAACATTACCTCAAAACACCCCATGAATATGTACAGCTGTGAGAAAAAACTTGAAAGTATGTGGCTTATTGTATGAATGGTTTTGAAATTTCAGAACAAAATCTTGATATGTAAAGACTGGGGGCCACTAGCCAGGTTGTCCAAAAATGTCCCAACATTTTTTACGTATGAATATTAAATTATAGACCTGTCCAGGGTGTATCCTGCCTTCCACCCAATGACTGCTGGGATAGGCCCCAGCTCCCCTCATGACCCAGAAGGATAAGTGGCTTAGGAGATGTGTGTGTGTGTGTGTGTGTGTGTGTATTAAATTATATAACATTTACATTTAAACAAAAATATCAGAAAAAATGCATTTAAAAATCTTGTTTGAAATTTAATAACATAACATTTAGAAGTACAATCACTTCAGCACATTTTAGTAAATGTTTATTTGCAATTCTTGTCCACAACCACAACTATTACTACTATTAATACTACTAATAATTTACTACTACTACTAATACTATTAATACTACTAATATTATTAATTTATTAATCATTCAATGGTTTAAATGTAAACAAAATCATTCAGAGTGGTTCGGTGGAAAATGCGCCTTTCCAGTCAGAATTGTTCATTGTAATAGTAGGAACCAGACGTCCGAAGCATTTAATGGCTCTAAAAACTACATCCCGTTAAGCTATTACACAAAATGGTTATGAATGCGTTGCTTGATACCTGAGACATTTTTTTGTGATAGTTTTGTTATAAAGTTTTGGCCTAAAACGTATTTTTAGTATAAACTATTACTCCAGGATCACTTTCGTATTTCCTCTCAAAATCACATTCTCAACTGAGATCAATGCGCGAGCTAACGCGCTTCTGTTGTTACTGGCCTGTAGCTACAGCCGTTCAACGCGGCTAACGCCGGTAGCGTGTTCTGTTTACCGTTTACTTTTACGGTTTCTTGTCTATTTTGGAAGATGGCAGAGTATTAGGGGGACTTCGAGGAGGTGTGTTTCCAAAATGTCGTAGAGCCAAATCGATTTGAACCAAAGACATAAATGAGTTGCAGTGGCTTGAAGCAGAGAGAGAGAGAAAGAGAGAGAGAGAGAGAGAGAGAGAGAGAGAGAGAGAGAGAGAGAGAGAGAGACCGAACCCGCCAGCGACGAAGCAGAACAACCCAGCACGAATGGACACTGATGGTGTCAACAACAAACTACTTGCTAATCTGCTTACCAGTTTATGAGGTAGGATGGCGAGGCAGACAGTTATGTTATTGCATGGCCCACTTTAGACAGCCTGTAAGCTAATAGCGAACAGTGATATTGTGCACATTATACAACAGTTAGTTCCGGCCACGCCAGCTGATTGGTTGAGAAGTGTTCTAACCGTGCTGTTATTTCGCCATAACGTCACGTTTTTTTCACAAACACCGTATCACTCCGCCGAGACATCGTTGCTAAGCAACGACTTTGACAGCTGTAGGAGACGCTCAAGCCATTTGAACGTTTTTACTTCTTACTTTGCGCACAAACAGAAAATGGATACTTTTAAGATCGCATTTGACCGACAGCCGATTTGGTCAGACTCTGAAGATGAGACTACACTGAATTCCCAAACTGTCATTACCACTGAGCAGCTTTTCAGTCGGCAGCTGTGACAGAAGAAAACCTAAACAACCTGGAATCAGCCAGAAATGAACCGAATACCCTTCGCCAAACAAAATGGGCTGTAAGATGCTTTACAGACTGGCTGGAACAAAACAACATTAATACTGATCTAGCAAAAAAGACAGCACTGAGTTAATCTTGATATTGCGGCAGTTTTATGGCTCAGTCCGCACTTCAAAAGGCGAGGCTTACAGCAGGCTGTGCACCGAGTGAGCGGAGTTCGTTACACTGACGTAGCAACAAGCTGCTTGTTAAGGAACTAGAATTTGGCGGCAGGAATTGCTAACGTTAGAACATTAAATGCCACGTTCACAGCCCGATTTATTTACTTCTTACTTTATTTATTTAACTGTTGTATAAAAGCAATAGAACACTCGAGGTTGTGTGTTATCACGAATCAGCCGTGATGTTAATTTTGCTTAAGTGGCTAATGACGGCTAATTTATTTCACTCATATATGTTTCTTACCTTGATTTGGGATTCTGTGGTGGAAAATACAACAGAGGGAACAGCAGAGGGCATTTGAAGAAATCTGATTTGTATTTTCTTCACTGGTCTTGAGAAGTCTTCATTGGTGAAGTGGCTGCTACAAACCCCAAATTTGTAGCTAGCTAACCTAGAGTTACTCGACTTCGGTATTTGTGTGTAGTTTAAAAACAATTAGCCACAACTTCAGGACTCCTGGTATTAACAGCAACTGAAAAAAACGCACTCTACTGTATTTTCTCCATTTACTTTTGCACCCTGGTACAGCGCAGTTCACCACCTTTCCGAACAACTAACCAGCAAGGTGTAACTGTGATCTGTTACAGGCTCCTCTGATAAATACTCACACTGAAAAGGCATGCAGGGCGGAGGGGTACATGCAGGGCGTTGTAAGGAAAAAACAATACCCAGAAAAAAAATATTTTTTCAAATTTAGTACTATTTTACCATTATCAGCGTGACAGATAAAAACTTAGAAGACACATGTAAGTTCACTGGTCCTTTTGGATTGCAGATAAAATTGTGATATTTGTAGTGTAGACAGAATGACGTCTGATTCCTAGTACTACAATGGTGAACAATTTTCACTCGGTAAATTTCTGTAGACAGGCGCATTTCATACCGAACACTCTGAATGATTTAGTTTACATCTAAACTATTGAATGTTTTAGTAATTCTGCAAAATCGGTGGAGTTCCCCTTTAAGTCAAGTAACCTTACATTTGCAAGACTTGCAGACCTAACTATCAATCTATTTTACTAGAATAATAGCTAAGTTAGCTATAGCTAAATTACAAGCATGCCTGCTGAGGGTGCAGCATTCATGCTTGGTTCCTCCTGCCTGCAGCTCACCTTTATCGCTTTTAAACTCAAAAACATCACTTTAAGTTGATTTTATATAGCCTTTGTTGAGTAACCAGCCAAGGTGTCTGGTGGGTGAAGTAAGTCTACTAACAAAAGATTTGCAGCCCACATTTAATAATAAATATTCTTGGGCCAGTAGTTTGATACAGTCAAAGTAATTGATTCAAAATTATGTCTTGAAAATAAAGTATTCCGGTCAATCAGGTGTTCTAATCAATTCAGGTGTGGATTTGTAATATAAAGACCACACAGTGATGATTACCTGTTCTTCAGAAGAGAATTGTGTTCAAGAGAAATGTAGCCTGATCAAAAGAGATCTCAGGCAGCCTCAGACATTGTTGAAGTTCTGAGGTGGGTTACAAAAGGATTTCTAAAAA